TTCTCAGCAGACGCTACTTTCGCCTTACCATTGCCCGCCGCCTCTCCATAAGCTGCATCGTCGTCGTCGTCTCCCGCCCTCTTCCGTTTCTCCCCAGCAACAGGTGCCAGCTCGTCATCCGGCTGCGAGTCGGGAATGGAGATCACCGAAACAGGTTTACCTGCAGACGGACCGGCGACGGGCGGGTCAACGTCCATGGGCTGAAGAGGGAGAGGAATCGGGCCGTCGATAGGTGTAAGGGGCTCGTCGTCCTCGTCTAGGATGAACTCAGCGCTCTTGAACACCTCCTTCTCCTTCTCCTTGCCCTTCGCCGCCTTCTTTTTCTTTGGCTTTTCCTGGCCATCCTCGTCGCCTCCCTCCGCATCCTTTTTCGCGGCCTTTTTCTTGGGTTTCGCTGGCTCCCCTTCCTCGCCCCCTCCCTCGGCATCCTTCTTGGGCTTCTTAGCGCGCGGCTTCTTCGCAGGTTTCTCGCCCTCCTCCCCCGCCTGTTTCTTCCGCGACTTTTTCGCCGGCTTGTCCAGCGCAGGAGGAGTAGCTGTATCCACGACAGTCCCAGCGGCGGGCCCAGTGGAAGGTCCCGCGACGGGTGGCAACAACGGAGCCAGACGAGCCGCGTCGGGAATCTGGGGCGGGAGCATCAACCCGGCGTCCTTGTCTCCCTGCAAGTCGTCGACCAGCTCGTCGCGGTAGTCTGACGACGGCGGTTTCGGCAGTTTGAGCTTCAGCATCAGCTTGGGCTTGGGCTTCGGCCTCTCTTTCCTTGCGCTCGGGGACGAGCCAGGGTCGAAGCTCGTGTCTCCCGCTGCCGAGAGGGTAGCGATGGGAGGAACAAAGTCGTCTCCTTCGGGATGATACCGGGTCGCACCGGTGGAGTGGGGAAACGGGTCGGAGGGAGGGAGAGGAGAGCTGGGACGCGGGAATGGGAACAGGGCGGCCTTTGGTGCGGGTTGGTGGGGGCTCGGCATGCGCACACCACTCGAAGTCGACGAGGAAGAAGTAGCTACCGCAGGGTCTTTAAAATGTGTACTCGCCCGCGATTTCCCTTTAGCTTTAGACATCGCCAGTTCGTCGTCCGAATCGTCGATTTCAATGATGTTTGACGCGGAGGACGTCTGGGTTTGCGTTCCCCGCTTGCGCGTCTTTATGCGATCTGAGAGGCTGAGTTTACTGCTGGGGTCGGAGAATGCATCTATGACCATGGAAGAGTCGTCGTTCGGGGCAGCGAGACGTGCAGCGGCGCCTTTGAAGGCTGGTCTCGGTCTCGGACGTGGAGGAGGCGCTGCAGAGCTGGAAGAGGATATGGAGTCGACCACTGCGAGTCCAACGATGAACGAAGAAGAATGAAAGACGAGATGAGAGCCTTACCGGGTTTTACACTTGCAAAATACGATATAGTAGAGTCTGCTGGGGCAGGGGATGGGGGTGTATTCTTCACCGGAGCGAGCAAATATTCTTCCCCATCGCTGTCAGGGACATCGTCCATTGGCTCGTAAGAATGAGAAACGCGCGAGAAAGGCAAGAAAGGATGAGTTTGTGGTGGTGGTACGCGTCAAAGTCAAACGCGTGACCGTTGCGTGAGAAACAAACGAGAACGCTGATCGCGATCGCTTTTGTTTCAACCCGATAACGATAACAGGACCATGAACCGTGAGTCCTGCAAATCGCAGAGGTTAGCTGCTCTTTGGGGTACATTTCATCGAATTCATTGTTCAACAGGTCCTAATATTTCTGTTTGTCTTCAATTTAGTCCTTTTGAGATTGAGGTACCTCATGAACCCTCTCTGAGGCCCTGAGAATCCTATCTTCCGAGCTTGGCGATTTTACCGACTTTTCCAGCCGTGATACCCACTGGCACGCCTCAGGAGCGTCATGCATTGTGCAATATTTATTTTATGTAGAGCCTCCGTCATCGTCCGCGTCAGCACAAAACGGTGATATAAACCTTCGCACCTCCCGCAAACGCTCTCCTCCCAACACCAACCATATGTCCCGTAATCTCTGCATCACTGCCGTCGACGGCCAAACTGGCCACCTCATCGCTGAATTACTCCTCACCGACCCAAACTTCTCCAAACGCTTCAAATCTGTAGCTGGACTGACCTTGGATATCGAACACGAGCATGTTCAGCAGCTCCAAAGCTTAGGCGCCGTGATAGTTCCTCATCAGCCGGGCCGCGAGCGCGCTTTGACGAAGCAGTTGAAGGACCTGAACGTCGATACTATCTGCCTCATTCCACCGACACACCCCGACAAATATGATATCACGTTTGAACTCATTAACGCTACCAAGAAAGCCAATATCCCCAACGTCTGTTTCATCAGCGCCGCCGGTGCTGATCTTGCCGATGCAAAGAAACAGCCCAGGCTCCACGAGTTCATTGCCCTCGAGCATCTCGTATTGGCGTCGAAAGGTGATACCAGTACCAAGGCGGGGCATTCCCCGGTGGTCATTAGGTGAGTGTACTCGCATTTCTCTCCAACATGCCATTGATGTTATCTGTAGAGCGGGTTTCTACGCTGAAAACCTTTTGCTGTACGCTACCCAGATCCGCGAAGAACATATCCTGCCTTTGCCTGTGGGGGACGCGCACAAGTTTGCTCCTATCGCCCTTGGAGATATCGCTCAAGTCGCAGCGCACGTATTGTCTGGTGAAGGCCCTCAGGGATTTGCTGACGAGCATCGGGGGCAATTGATCGTCTTGACCGGTTGGTGGCTTGCATTGAACCCTCATACCATTTTTGATATATCGATTCACAGGCCCAATGTTGGCGGCGGGCAACGAGATTGCCACCGCAGCTGGGAAAGCCCTCGGGTTCGACGTGAAGTATGAGGATATCTCCCAGTTCGTTTCTTCAATTTTGCATTGCAGCTCAGTTAAACTAAATCGTTTGACGCAGGGCCGAAGCGAAAAGGGTGCTCAAGTCCCATTCCGAGCTCGATAGCTCCGAGATGGAATTCCTCCTCGAGTATTACTCGCTCGTTCGCGAAGGAAAGACGAATTATATCTCGACGCACGCGTTCCACTACATCACTGGGACCCACCCGACTGAGCTGGAAGAAGTGTTCAAGCTGTATGCAGCTGAATTTCAGGCTCAAGGGGATGGTTCGGATGGGCACGTGTCGAAGCGCAGGAAGACGAAAAAGTAAAGATGACCTTCGGTTGAAAAAAAGCTCGCGCACTTGAAAGAAAACTCGCGCAATTGAAAAGAAAACTCGCGTATCGTTACTCTAGTACATATTGTTCATTTATTGTAAAAATAATTCCTGTTGCAAGTATATTGTCGCTCAGCAATTGCCTGCAAAGCCTCGGGCCGTCAATGGCGCTTCGTCTTGTGTTCGGGTTGCAAGTGAAGGACGCGTCTGTAACGAGCTTGTGGTGGTCGCGTCAGAGTCAAACGCGTGACCGTGCGTGAGAAAGAAACTAAAACACTGATCGCTTTTGTTTCCGAACCACGATAAGGTTGAGCTTGGAACTGCCTTGACCGCGGGACTTTGCTTCCAACAGTCCGGCGTCTGGGACATGTATGTCTAACGGACCAGAAGCTTCTCTGGCGCCAGAATAATATTTTCTCTGTGGACTTGAAGCAAACTTGAAGCTCCTTCGAAGCTGAGCGCCATATGTCGCACCTTGTTTTTTTTCCAGTCTACGGAAACACTTTTTGCTGCTACACCTTCACTGCACATGGCGACGGCAAAGTTAGCTGAAGATAGCTCGACTCTTATCGCTCTTTTTCCATACGGGACTTGAGTTCTTGCTCAGACCAATATACGTCCGACCTCGCCTCAGACTCGCCCAACGGCGGAAAAACGACGACTGCTCTTACATTAAAATTTCCAACTAGATCTATGAGGCCAAAAAGAAAGGTCCCCCCGGCTGCTGGAGCGAAGCATGAACGACCAGGACATTACCGAAGCCCAACTTCGCCGAAGCAGCTGAGCGCCATATATCACCACCTTGTGTTACGGAAACACTCGTCCATTACGCTTTCCAACTCCACCCAGCGGCAAAGTTAGTCGGAAATGGGCGAATATAGCCCGGCTTTTCCCGCCCGTTCATACATAAAAGGATGCGACTTGGATTGTCCTTCCGCAGGACAAGATGACCGACGAACCCAACGGCGCTCCAGCGAAGGCATTCAACGATGACTACTCCTGCACCGTAACGATCCACAACCAGACGTCGCAGACGCTCACTCTGCTGAACAAGAAAGACTACCACGGCTACTGGAGCGAAGGACCGCCGGACAGCATCGACGGTCAAAGCACTACTGAAGTCAAGATCAAGGACTCCTTCGGTATGTTCTTCGTTCCTGCTCCGCAAGGCGTCGCTGAGCACCATGTAGCTTTGCTGGATCTGAAGGCTTCCTCCGCTACAAGCACCCCAACGGCGCCGAGATCTGCATGACGTTCTCTTGCCCGACGCACGGTGATAACATCGCGAGGATCACCGTTGAAGGCTCTGGCTACGTTGCTGTGAGAGTCGACCCCGAGCACATCAGTGCGGGCGGACACCCAGTTTATGGTACGCCGTCTTGTAAAGTTTTTCGATTCTTTGCCTGACTGTGAACCGTAGCCGACTTTTATGTTGGATAGCTACGGTCATAGGGTGGATTGACGTGACTTGAATGTACTTCTGGATAGACGAATGCAATGTTTGAAAGATGTGTCTCCGACCAAAACGTAAGGTGCCTCCATTATATTCCCTTGAGGGGACCTCTTCGCCGTCAGCGTATCGCGGGACAGCCCAATACGTTCACCAGCATTTTTCCGCCCGGACTCGGGCCCTCGGCATGCGTAGGTTTTGAGTATTTCCGGGAGGACTACTATTATTATGATTTTACTTGTGTTCGATCGTTCCCCTCTAAAAACTCTGTGCCGATTCCCGTAACCTAGGCGGGACCTTGATGCTTTCATGGCGACCTAAATCAGTGAATATACTTCCCTCAGCGAAGTCTGGCTCTTAACCCACTCTTGTAGCTTAACCTCCATTGATGATTGCGACCTGATAGCACAAGTGGTAGTGTTTCTGCTTTGTTTCGTCGCTGCTGAAGCAGAAGATCCTCGTTCGATTCGAGGTCAGGTTATAACACGTGAGGGTTTTTCTCACTCTCAATACAGGCACCAAATACTGAAAGTTTTTTCCACCAGCTCACGTTTTCTAAGGGAAGCCAGCGCGCAAAGTGGACTGGTCAACTCTTGGAAAAAGAGAGATAGGGCTAAGTGATGGGATCAGGAATAGCATCATGGACGAGTTGTCCCAACTGGGTTTTCCATCTTGCTTGTACCACCACCACCTCTGCCTTGTCCCCCCTGGCGCGTCTTCTCGACCACCTCCATGTCCAAGCGGAATCTTTCTGACCTTCTCAACGGCGAAGCCGACGCTGAGCCAGGCCCAAATACAAAACAGCGCCGGCGGTCACCCTCACCAGCACCGCACACCCTGGCATACCCGGCACTCGACTCCCCGCCGGCGACCGCAACACCGTTCCAGCAGCCTACTCAGATCATCTCGTTCTCCTACTCCCCCGAACGCGAGCTGCAGTTCAATGACGACGCGCTCCGGTACCTCGCCTCCCCTCCTCCGCGCGCGCAACTAGCCCACGGATACGACCGCTGGATCCGGCGACCCGAGAGACGTCCACGGATCGACTCTCTTTTACGTGCATTGTCTACTGCAAGGCAAAAACGACATCCTGCACTAGCTTCGGGTGTGGGCGCTGTTGCGTGGCGTGGTGTGCTTACCCGGTGCGCATTTTAACTCAAGCAAAGAGCATTTAAACTGATGCTATCTGGAGAGGATCTTGACGGCGCCGTATGAGGAGCGTGAGGGATGGGAGATGAATGTGATGTGTGTTGACGGGGTCCTTTATTTTGAGGAACATCTTTCGGACGCACGGCTGCGAGAAAAGTGCGTCTCTCTCCACCCTTTCCTTTATCTTCCACCTGGGTCAAGGGTCATCGTCAAACGAAGCCCCTCCGCATGAACTGGGAAACCGTTCGCCGGAGAACAAACTGTTCTCATATACATTCGGTCCCCTGTCTATTGCTTTCCCCCCATTGTTATGCTGTCTAATAAATCCACCATTCGTGCGCAGAAACGACATTGCTCCCCGTCATCGCCTACAAACCTATTTCGGCTACTCCTTCGAGTCGTACTGCACTTCGGCCGTCCCGTCTCCCAACGGCGGACCCAGCGTAAACATCCCACAAGCCCCGGGCGACCCGCCTGGCTGGGGCGGAGACGTCGACACCAACGTGCAATGGTGCAGCGTCGTGCGCACGAAACTCGGCGCGACGAGGCTGGTTATTGGCGGAGAGGTGGATTGTGTGGGGGGTGCGTTGCGTTGCGTTCTACTGAAACTGTAATAAATTTGTTGACGTAGGCAAGTACACCGGCGCGACGGACACGTTCGTCGAGCTCAAGACCTCGATGGTGATCCGTGGTCCGCAGGATGAGGCGCGGTTCGAGAAGTGCGTTCTTTTTACCTCTACCGTACCCCTATCCCTTGATTCTTCTTTATCCTGCCCCTTCATTCGGACCACTCACACACCGCGCCCACTAGGAAACTGCTCAAATTCTACCTCCAATCCTTCCTCCTCGGCGTCCCCGAGATCCTCGTCGGCTTCCGCACCCCCGCGGGCGAGCTCACCACCACACAGACCTTCCGGACGACTGAGCTGCCGCGGCTCGTACGCGGGAAGAAGGGCGCCTGGGATCCGAGGGTGTGTCTCGGGTGGGGGGAGGCGTTTTTGGAGTTTGTGAAGGCGGTTGTTGGTGCTCGGGGGAAGGAGAACGGGGTCCGTAAAGACGAAAGGGAAACGGAAGATCAAAATGGGCATGTGCATCCTGACACGGCGGTGTGGCGCGTCAGTTTCCGCCCGAACACTGGCGTTGAACTCGTGAGACTTGACGCTGCGGGTGTCAGGGATGTGGAGCGCCGTGGGGGCGAAGAGCAGGATGGGGAGGAGGAAGAGGTGGAACGGGTAGGGTTTTTGCCACGGTGGTATTGGGAGGAAGTCACTGGGAAGAGTGAGAGTAAGAGTGACGGGGAGGGGACGTAAACAGGTTCACTTTGGATACTTGCCGTCTGCCCTTTGACTCTTGCAGTGATCTTTCGCAGTGTGAATCGCAACCGCGACATTTCAATCGAAAACTTCGACCGAATGTAACTGAAAATGTGTCGACTGGTCTTGTCTGCGAATTTTGACGTGGGGACGCTGAGAGAGTTTGTTCTGTCTGTGGATGTTACCGTCTCATTGATTTCCTCCTGAAGCCCCGCCACTCCGCCAGGATATATCGTGAACTCCGAGGTATTCTTCATCGTCAGTGCCTTCACTGAGAGAAAGGTTGCTCGTCGCCTCGTTACACAGCAGATCGCAAATCTTGCCGGTTCATCCCCGTCTGTTCCTTCTCAAGGTGTGGTTGTGTCGTCTGCTTACTCTTTGCTCTGCTCATATTCGACCCTCTTATGCTTTAGTCTATGGAGGAGGATATTTGAAACGACTCAAATCCACAGGCTGCTCCAGTCGTCTCTTAGCCCTATAATCGTGGCGCCCTCATCTAGGGCGAATAATCACAAGACAGTTCAACAATATTAACGTCTCCCATCCTCTGAAGTCAGTGTGACGCAGCTACAACATGGGATTCGCGAAATCCAGGAAGCGGTCGGACGTTTTGTGAACTTTGATAACTTGCCTGTAAATAGTTGGAACTTCCTCACCTCCAGACTGCGCAATTCGGTAAATGGCCGCCCTCAAATTCCTGCCTGTTACGTCATGTTCAATTCCGATTCCCACGGTTGAAACACTGGTTCGGACTTGGTTGAGTTCATGGTCGTTTCTTGTCATAGAAGCCCGACCGTGTTCCGGCCTGGACGAAGCAACAAGTTCTTGACATTCAACGCGAAAGCGACATGGACTTGAACTGAGCCATCCCGGGGTAAGTAGTAGACGTCTCGGGCCGAAAACAAATTTTAGAAATGTTTAACATCCAAGTACTCTAACTGGTATGCGCTTAGTCTGCAGGGGATCGACCCCGTATCAAGCCCGGGGCCCACGACAAGGGAGCACACCACCCCCGGGGACTCTTCGACCACATGAAATTCGACACATGAAAGCCCACGGCCTCAGCAAAAAATCTCCCCAACACCTCTAATCCAGCCCGTCGAAACGTTCGAATGTCGATGTTGAAAGACCAGTCGGTAGGCCCCGGTCCAAACTCCCTGGCCCGCAATCTAGCGAATCATTTCCGGTAAAGGATCATCGATGTCGATTACTCTCTCCAGCGCGGACGCCAGATCACCCTCTCGGTGGTGAAGGGTTCAAGAGCCCCCCGGATTCGCCTCCGCTGAGTCTTTGGAGGGGACTGGACATGACGCGAACACCTCCCATAACGCCAGGCTCTTCGGCTGAGAAGATTCGCACCGGACGAAGTTGGAGGTTGGTTGTGCGATGCGCTCCGCGCAGACGGGCCGACAGCATGGTCCCGCGGCCCCTAGTTCGCTAGCTAGCTCCCCGGGGGCGGAAAGCCATGAGCGTATCGTCTGCCGAGCGCGCTCCCACTCACGCCGGCAACTGCCCAAGCTCATGTGAGCTGGAGTCGGAGTTGAAATAGTCAGTTTCAACTCCGACGCCAGCTCACCTGGAATTGGGCAGTTGTCGATGTGAGCACTTCGTTACCGGAAGAGTCAGAGGCTCGGAGGGAGCTCGGATCGGTGTCGCTGACATGCCGGTCGGTGTTGAGGCGAGATGATGTCGGTCGAAATGATCTGTGGAAACAGGTCAGTACTAACGAAAGGAGGTTTGAGTCTGGTGAAACAACCCATGGCCATGCGCGGTCGCGGACACAGCTGCAGGTAAGTGTAAGCTCAATACGTAGTAGACGAGATTCAAGTTGAACACTAACCGTTGAGCTCAAGCCCGAGCACTGGGAACGTTCGAGGTCAGGAGAGGGAGGCGAAGGGCGGAGAACATGGTGGTAAGAGAGAGAACCATCGGGTGGCTGACATTGATTCGCACTGAGACTTTATAGACTCCAAGGCGGTGTTCCTTTGGCTTGGGCCTTGCCGTCAAACACGTTTACACACACCGCTCCTTACCTCCACCACGCCGCGTAATTTTATCACTATAAGTCTTGAATACCATGCAAGCCCTCCAAAAACTTGTCTTACCCCGCAAGCCCTCTGGGACGAATGGCACCTCGACCCATGTAAGCTCACCGATTCCTTTGAATTCCAACCGCTGCTAATTATTGCACACAGGCTGCTGATACCTCCAGCGAGTCGCACTACTCTCGTCCTTAACGCCCGCGCCGTTGCACAACGCGCCGTAGAAGTTGCCAATACCACACTCCGAACACAATTCACCGAGCTTCGTACAATAAATTCCGAGCTCGGCGTCGGAGAGTGGTATACTTGGCGACGAGGAGGCGGTAGGCAAAGGGCACGTTGGATGCACTCGTGGAGAGGGCCGAGGGGGCGATGGGAGCAGACGGATTCCATCGATGGGAGAACTCTCGCGGACGCGCTGGCCCCGCCGTCCTTCAAGGCTTCTCAACTCTAGAAAGTGTGTTTTGTACCTGTTTTACCCTTGGCGGCTTTGCACTGATGCAGGGCACACGTGCGTGTCGCGTCGCGTCGCGGGTACGCGGGTCTTGCGCTTGTCAAGCTGTCGAATAGGCTCGCCGGGAACCAAGCTTCTTCTGCTTCGCGGAAGTGTTGCAATTGACGGCGCCTGAATTGCGACACTACTTGTATGGGGATGCGCACCTGTCAGTCGTCGGCGGAGGAATTCAATGTGAGAGAGGCCGCCGGGAGATAATTGTCACTCGGAATGCAGAAGGATGACTCTAGCCTGGAATACTTACCCGGGGTTATTGTTATTGACGAGAGAGTTTCGTCGTGATGACTCGGAGAAAGTCAAGGCACCACCGTGAGGAACAATGCAGAATGCATATGGATTCGGATCTCCCACGAACAGCATTAGCTGGTTATACCGACGCCTATAGACGCCTACCAGTGCCCAGCGGAAACGCGGTAATTAAACCCGACTGGATTAACGCTAATTAATTGCAATTGTCCACAGC